GGGGGGGGGGGGGTATGGCGGCCAAATTGTTTTTTTTTCTTTCTGGTTTTAGTGTTCGGGCACGTAGGTACACGTGTCCGAAGCCCAACGCGCGAATTCCGTTTTTCCGAATTCGACGCGACCCCCTCGTTTTTGCATTTAACGCGATTTAATGGGGGTCGGAGGCCCATTAAACGGATGAACGCGCGTTCAATTTTTCACGTTCTCGGTTAAAAAGATACACAGAGTAGTGGAACGAGGCCTAGATACACAGAGTAGTGGAACGAGGCCTAATGTGGCTGTGATGTAACAAAGCCAAAGGCAATTTTCTTGTGCTGTGTGGTGTGTCAGCATGGATGTGGTCCCCACATCCATGCTAAAGTTTGGCAGCTTCCTTTTCTACCGGGTGATATCCCATGCTTCGCTCTGCCACGTGGCTTTTTTTTTGGGGGGGGAACGTAAGGTGTGATGCAACGTAAGGTCGTACTATTCACACGAGCGTTTTTTTTTGGGGGGGGTGGAGAACGAGCAATATTTCAACTTATCTCTCTACGCAATGGCCACATATATACCGGCCGGGGCGCGAGTCTCACTTGGTCGAACCGCTCATTTCCGGCCGTCGATCTGAACTGAACAATCTACGATCAGGAGCCGATAATTCGAACAAATGGGACTTCGCCCCGGGGTCGTAATTGCGGTCCCATGCATGCAGGAAAGTCGTCGTGCGTGTTCCGTTATGCCACTATCTCTCTACGCAATGGCCACATATATACCGGCCGGGGCGCAAATCTCACTTGGTCGAATCGCTCATTTCCGGCCGTCGATCTGAACTGAACAATCTACGATCAGGAGCCGATAATTCGAACAAGTGGGACTTCGCCCCGGGGTCGTAATTGCGGTCCCATGCATGCAGGAAAGTCGTCGTGCGTGTTCCGTTATGCCACTTGGCTGGCTATACGACCTTTCCTGCCGCCCATCGAGTGGAAGCCTGTTTTCCCTCACCTGATTGTCTTTATAAAACGTGTTATTTTGAGGTTGGGCGCGAATTTAAGGCCTGCATCCGCCAAAATTTTGAATGCAACTGGACAGACACGCGTCAAGATGCATTCAAAGTGTTGGTGGCTGGCAAATGGTGCAACTACCCGTAGGTGCTTCAGATGACGGACCAGCAATCCTCGATCGAAAGAGAAGAAGGCCCTGCAAGCATAGCTAGCTCTCACAGCGGGTAGGTAGTGAAAGGTGAAATTGGTTCCAAGATATAAAATTTAAAAAAAGAAAAGAAAAAAAAAGGTGAAATTGGGAGCAGAAACGGGACAGCAGAAACCGCCATACTCACGTCAGCCCATTACTTATACTTCCGGCGGAACGACTCTCACCTCGCAGTTGCACTCACCAGCCACCACTTCATGAAATGAAATTCTCTGGGCAAAAAAAAATAAAAATAAAAAAATAAAATCCCCGGGCCTTTTTTTTCGGAAAAAACGTGGAATCTGGAGTTGGGGAGCAAGGCCCTATATCTCTCCTTCCTTGATTTCATCAAAAACTTCTCTCATCATTTGCGATCCATCCTGTGCGCCCTCGCGCCGCTATCAATTTTGCGTCTCCGACATCTCTCCTTCCTCGCGCCATCTTTTTCACCTTCCCGCCTCTCCGCCTTCATTCTCTGTTCCTTATATCCTCTCCTCCCGCGCTCAGCCTGTTGCGCGTGGCTTTGCCAGTTCATATTTATACCTAGTGTTCGCAATCGTTTCTCCCATCTACCCTCTCCTCTGTCTCCTACCCTCCGGCAGTCCCTGCGAGGGAGAGTTAGCGCCAAGCCATGGTTCAATCAGCTGCCGGGACAGGGGGAGGGACGACATGGCCGCCAACGAAGGGGCGGGAGACGAGCCTTTCTCTTTCCGTCTCTGTCGAGGTCGCAAAGGAAGGAGATAATGCTTCGCCTCCTCGGGGCGTTCAGCTGCGATGGTGGCGGCGGCATTTCCCCGCTGAGCTAGTGCTTCTTCTCGCCATCCTTCTTCTCCCTCGGGAATACCGACAACCGCTGCACCAGCGGCAGCAGCCGATCGGCGGCGTGTGCGGCGGCGCCGCCGCCGCCGCCTCCCCCGGCTGGCGCGGCAATGCTTACACGCTTGTCGATTTCTTGGCGGCTTATCAAAACCCTAACGTGTCGTATCATGAAGTAAAGGGCAACATCATGCTAACTGACTCTCTCCCTCCTCTTTCCAGACCGCTGACGCTTGTGGGAAAAGGTCCCGAGCGCGACGAGTCGCCTGTCATCGATGGAGCGGGCAAGTTTAAAGGTATCGTCACCGACTCGAACATTACGCTAATTAACCTCAAGTTCCGCGCTTTCCGGTCGAATACCAGCGGCGCCGCACTGTCTGCCACGGGTGATTCCGTCTTCATCGATCGCTGCGTCTTTCGGGGCAACCTTGCGCTCAATGGGACGATGGGCGGCGCGAGCGGCGCAGCCATCAACATGGAGAATACCATCTTCTCGATCAACAACACGCTCTTCATCGACAATCACGCGCAGGTGAATGGGGGGGCAATTCGCGCGGGCGCGGTCGGCGGCGGCGGCGGAGAGATTAGCCGGTGCGTGTTCGAGGACAACGATGCAGAGGAGAACGGCGGAGCTGCGCACTTCAGAGATCAGACAGCAGTCTTTGTGCATGGCTGTAAGTTCATCAAGAATCTGGCCGCGCAACAAGCCGGCGCGCTCTTTTTCACCGGCGGACTGAGCGTCATTTCTCAGTGCGAGTTTATCCAGAACAGGGCGGAAGGTGGGGTCGGCGGAGCCGTGCGCTTCTACGGGGAAGACAAGGCGCTGTTCAGCTTGTGCGGCAAGAACCTGTTCGTTCATAACGTTGCAAATACGGTGACATCGAACAACATCTATATCCGAGTAGCAGGGGGAAACGTGACTGAACCTAACGTTCACTTCTGTGGGCGGATACCCCCGGAGACGTTTGTAGACGCTCTTCCTGAAGAAACAATCCAGTCATGTGAATACTGCTGACGAATCCCGTAGTCGAACGACGATGCATCTGACCGTAATTACGACTAGAATGCTCTGTTACGAATTTCCTAGTACGACTTTTGTGATTTTCTAACGCTCCTCGTGTCCATCTGCCTTTAGTTCAATCCAGTTGCCGATTTGCTTGTCTATCCATATACCTACCTATATGTATCTATAATATAAATCTATGTGTGCCTATCTATCTATCTACCTATCTATCTATCTATATCTCTAGCTGTTGTTCATTTTCTTCCTCTTATACCATCTATGGAATCAGATCTTTCTATGTCAATATATGCTCTCTCTCTCTCTCTCTCTCTCTCTCTCTCTCTCTCTCTCGGTATTCTTCTCTTTATTCCATGATCCAGGTACGCTACTCAGCTTCCTACTTATCTTTGTACCTCTCTCTCTCTCTCTCTCTCTGTCTCTCTCTCTCAGCTTGCTACTTAACTTTGTACAGGCAATCCATCTGTTGGCAGTGAGCTGTCTGTCGGTTATGTACAATGAGTCGATCTGTTGATCTGTCTGTCGTTTTTGTATGATGCAATCGATCTGTTCATCGGTCTGTCGGTAAATATGTTCAAGGAGTCGATCTGTTGATCTGTGTGGCCGCTCGTGGCTGACTGTCGACCTGTAATCCATCTACGTAATATCTCTCTTATCTACTTACTCGTATTTCCGAGCTTACTCACACTAGCACAATCTTACTGTAAATGTATCTGACCGTAATTATGGCACTAGGATGCATTTGACCGTAATTACGTCTCGAAAGAAGGGAAAAGGTCTTAGTGTGAGTATATGCCCTAAATTAGAACGTCATCTTCTGTACTATCCTGCTCCATCCGTCCACCAAGTTCATCCTACTCGTCTTCTCCTCCCCCCCCCCCCCCCCCCCCCCCCCCCCCCTCCTCCCTCCGCAATTGTCAACCGGCTGTCGGATTACCCTGTTTTCCCCCGAATACAACGCACCGTCATTGCATCTAGTCTCAAAGTTGCCCTGAATACAGCTATAATAACTCCACGTTGTATTCGGGTTAAGACGGGCTATCGTAAGCAAACACGGTCATGCTGAAATTAGATCGTCGCTTCTCCGTCTTTCCGTACATCCGTTAAACAAAATTGGAACGATACCAGAGAGAGAAGATTAAGCATGGCACATGCACAAGGATGACACGCATCAATCGAGAAATGGTCCAATTAAAAAAAAAAACGAAAAAGAAAGAAAGAACGTCTCTACTTCAAATGCTACTACGGTATCCCTGTTTTTTTTTTTTTTTGTTGTCTGCATGTCGCACGATGGACCACGGATCAGAAAACTGATCAGAACAGATACTACACTTGACCATCTCAGCCTAACTGCGTTGTTAACTGAAGGCCGAGAAAGGTAGATCCTTGATGTGTTGTTGGATCTAAACGAGCAAAGGGTAGTTAAATCAAGGACTAAGAAAGGTATAGCAAAAAAAAAAAAAAAAAAAAAAAAGAAAGGTATAGCTCTGACGTGTTGTTAACTGAGACCGAGCAAAGACTTATCTACGTGTATTTGTGCAAACGACAAGGACACGTAAGGCGTGTTCACACTAGGACGTTTTCTATGAAGATCTGGACGCGATTGCAGTCGAGATTCATCCAGGTCTGGCCGTAGCTGCAGTCAGATGCATTTTGGAAAGTACGAGTGTTAGTGTGCCCTGAGAGAGAATCGCAACGTGAGAGAGGTAGTATCTCTTTCCTTCCCCCTTTTTTTTTCTCTTTTTTCTTCGCTTGAGTCTTTTCCACCATGGCCGGTCCGTCGGTCCCCAGACTTTTTTTTTTTCTTTTTTTTCTTTTTAATGTCCTTCAGGTATTATCATCGGATTAACCAGCCCAGGTAAATTCAACTTCGTGTCTAATCTGACAACGGGTGGCCTTTTCAGCCCAGGGTGACCTTTATTTATTGCCTTCAGGGTACCCCCGATGGGGGACACTCCCGTGTGAGTTTTTTTTTTTTTTTTTTTTTTACCCTTTATGGAAAAAAATCAATCTTTACTACTATCAAAGCCGGGAAGTTCAAAAAAAAAAAAAAAAAAAAAAAAAAAGCCGGGAAGTGGGCCCGGCGTCCCTTGCACGCGTGTGAGTGGCATTGGCAGTGAGCTGGTTTTTTTTTTTTTTTTGACGGCCCCAGGTAATAGCTCTGTTGGTTCACCGACGAACTGTTGAAATACGCACCCAAGTTTGAATCCAGATACAATCAGTGACGCTTTTCTTTTTTCCGCCCCCAACTCCTTTCTTTTGTTTTTATTACAAAAAATAGTCCCTATTAAGGGCCCAGGGGCCTGGACCCACTAGCAAGGTATTCTACCACGCCGTTCAGGATTTCGATCACGTGTGGCATCGAGTGACTCAGTACGGCCGTCCAATAGATCGGATCTCGACGGCCTGGTAGTTTTCCGAGCGGGGACTGTAAAGATGCCCACCTCCCGTCCAATGAGATGCGTCGAAAAAAACAAACAAACGAAGTTGGACTAACTTGGACATGATAGCTCGTGGCTTTGCGTGGGCGGGAAGTCAGGATTTCATGGGCTCTAAAGGGGGGGGGTGATTTCCAGACTTCGTTTTTTTTTTTTTATTGGCTCTGAGAAATAGAACTTGAAATGTGAAATTCGAATATTGTGGTGCATCTGACAGGAACGCTTCCGCGTCTGTCGGATGGCCTGTTAGAGGCATCATGAGATACATGGTGACGAATGTGTCCCCATACCCATTACTTGTTCATCCTCGTGTCTGTGTTTGTGGACAAATTTTATTGCCACGGTACATCATTATGAAGACTTACGTGAAGGAGATCGTACCAACCCATGAATTCGGGTGCACAGCTGTTCTTCATAGTTTATGTGCTATTTCAATTCATTTTAAATCAGAAAAGGATCCATTCATGCAAATAAAAAATCACTTTGTATTTTCCAAAAAACCATAAACCTGTGTCACACGTCGTAGAATACTTCGCTAGTGGGTCCAGGCCCCAGTGCCCAAGGCAAAATACAGAACTTCTTTCATGCGCAGGCTGCGCGTTAGCAGGAGGAAACCATATATGCATCTTGCTTATAGCGACTTTTTTCTTTTCTTTTCTTTTCTTTTCTTTGCTTTTCTTTTCTTTTACAATGTTTTTTTTTCCATTTTTTGGGGGGGATTTTCCGAAATTTGCACCTGCTTATCGAAACCTTTTTTTTTTTTTTTTTTTCCAATCATCGTTCAGGGCCACTCGTCCTCTATCCCTTGGGCGGCAGGGTTCAGATGACTCCTTCCTATTGGTGGCGAGCTGCACATGCCCCAAACCGGGTCCAGCCTCCCTTGTGATGATGGATAAATCATGATCAGGACCATCATCAGGTAACTTCTCAAAGTTCAGAAAATATCAGCAGAAAATGGGACCTCTTATCAGCAAAACATGGGACCTCATCATCAGCATCATCATCATCATTATCATCACCACCACCACCGCTTAGAGATGATTCCAGTGATTCCACAATTCACAATCACCATCATTATGGCCACCCGCAGTCTTCTGATTCCAACGATTCATATCGCCATTAAGGTCGTCATTATTATCATCATCATCCACATTATTGTGGTTATCCGTCCTTGAACTGTGAGTATCATCCCGTCTGTTCCTCAGATTGACATCAGTCGCTTTCAACACCTTACCATCACCTTTTTGAGGCTGATGGCACTGCCTTATCATACAGACCCATCCTAGTTCACACCCAAAGTTCAGGCACCGCACTTTTTTTTTTTTTTTTTTTTTTTTTTTGCACCGCACATTCAACTCCATCGGAATCCTGCCACCGTTTCTTCAAAATATCCTCCTTTTTTTTTTTTTTGTGAAATGCCCGAACCAGTGGTAGGGGTGCTGATAGGAGCAGACACCACCATCACTGTCGGGGAGGCTCGATCTATTGCTGGGGAGCAGCACCTGCTGGAAAGCGGGTCCAGCGTCCCTGTACAACATGGTTGCCTTAATCGGGCAGAGCAAATGGTCAATGTCTGCTGTTCCTTGTTGTGGCTGACTCTCACTTTTGTTCTTGCAGCTGCCGACTTTTTTGTTTTTGTTCTGTTGCAATCCGCATGTTGCGACTATGGACATCTCCTTGCGTCGTTCTTTGGGACGTCCGTTAAAATTGGAAAGATGCAGAGAAGATTAGTATTGTAATAAGCTGCTGCGCAAAAAAAAAAAAAAAAAAAAAAAAAAAAACTCTTTGCTTCAACACTTTCGCCGTCATGAGAACTGGGACCGTCTCTGGTCGGTCTTCGTGTGTCGCTGGTCGGTCTCGGTGTTCACGCTCTTTGCGTAGCTCAGTTGATACAACCATGAACTGCTCAAGTACAGACGCAAGTTGGAATCTTGATGCAGTCAGATGAACAAAATCGCATGCTTTTGAATTACCAAGGGGTGGAGCCGGTCAGTTCAATGATAATATCTCAAGGCCGTCACCCGTTTAGATTGGAGGATGTAGATTGAAGTTCATTAAACCACCAGTACTTGGGGCCGGCCTTAGCGTTAACACTATGGAAATTTCGCGGCCGGCGGGCCGTGGATAAATGGAATCCACAGCCTGTGTCGCTTCGACCTCCGGCGCGCAGTGCCCAAGCACTGGTGGTTTAAACACTCGTAGGCTGCGAGTCGCATTGTTCAGCTGCCACGTGGCTTTCGCCGCTTTGTTTGTTGGCCATTTGACATGCCCATGAACTGTCTCCAACTACAGAACTGTTGAAATGCCGACCCTGATTTTCACTGCGCACAGGGTTTTGTCGAGCCTGGCGTCCTTTGTGTTTCTTTCCTGGTACTCTTCTGAAAAAGAAAAAGGAAAAAAAGCACGGCCACACTTTCAAAAAACGACTTACAACCACAAAAAAGAAAAAGAAAAAAAATGAACACCCCTCTGGACGTGGTACGAGGTTGATTATACCTGCCCCAAAGTTGTTGTGCCAGTATGCCCTCAGTGAGGGCTTTAGGGCAGGGGTGTCAGGTCCACGGAAAAAGAACGAAAAAAACGAAATTGAAACTGAACTTGGAGGCTCGCCCCACAGGCTGTTGAAACCCACAGGTTTTCGACAATTTTGCATCGCCACACAGACTTTCGAAGAATTGTGGCTCAAAAGCGTTTTGACAGGTGTCAGAATGGTATGCTCCACAGCCACCCTCCCCCAATCGTTTTCTCCCCCTTGCGGCAGACGGAAATTCGACAGTGCCCCACCGGCCTTTCGAGAATTGCGTTGGGATTTGCATTGTCAGGGACTTTTGCGTGATGGTCATGACCGAAAACCTTGCCCCTCGACAGCCTGTGTGGCAAAAGGGGGGTAAACAGTGGACCGCCGACTTTCGAACTTGGAGCGGGAAAGCGGGTTCATACATATTCTGCAAAGTTGTAGTGTGGGCATGCCCTCCTTCACAAAGTGTCAGCAGCCCATGGACGGCACCGTGCCTCACTGGCAGGGCATGAAAACAAAAAATTAAAAAGAAACAAGACAAAAACAGCAGCAACTCCCCGGCCTCGGTTTTCAGTGGTTTTATAATATACATTTCAAAATTGCACTTGGAAAAAAAAAAAAAAAAAAAAAAACAGCAGCAAAGACAACCTGAAACTGGCCACAATCGGAGTTAGATACTTTCTTGTGAGTAGGTCTTTTGTTTTTCTTTTTGCTTTTGGAAGGGGCCCACAAGGCCCTATTAAGCGGGTTCATACATTCTGCAAAGTTGTAGTGTGGGCATGCCCTACTTTTTTTTGCCGAGCCTGGGTACCACTGCGTTTTCTTTATTAATACTCTCAAAGCTGGGCCGGGGACCCACATTTGCCGAGCCTGGGTAATACTCCGTTTTCTTTATTAATACTCTCAAAGCTGGGCTGGGGACCCACAATTCAACCCGGAAACAGTACTGACAGCATCAGCCAGCTTAGCTTAGGCTACAGCAGGAGAGGGAAAAGACTAGGAACATTTCCGGCTCCATTAGGCCTCTGTCCTGATTTCTACCCACTGTGCAATTGTGAATCAAAGCTGCCTTCCTGGCCATCAAAGCCGAACCAACCAAAAAAGGAAAATAACTCGAACCAAATAAAAGAAAAGAAAAAGGCTATCATTCGTTTACCTATCTGTACTCAAAATACTATTTTGCCTACTTTACTTCCTATCCCATTTCCAACCTGGGGAGTAATTCCCAACACTGGTGGCGGTAGTGGTGGTTTCAAGAAAAATTGAAAAAATCCCCGCACCCGAATACAACACCCCCCACCCTCCCGCTTTTCCCTTGAACTGGCCACCCCACTCTACCCCACTAGGAGCGGGGTAGCCAATTCGAGGGAGGCCAAGCAATCACTACCTTCTCCAGGGAGGAACTCGCAGCCAATTCTGACAGACTCAGGCTGGCACTCTGACAGAGGTGGGAGGAAACTCGGATGGACGTGGAAGGATAGTACTCATT